AGGATTTGGGTAAACGTTTTTTAGCGTGTCATGTATTTTTATTTCCTTCTTGTTACATTCGGAAAAAGATGCCCCAGCTTTGCTCAACTCAACAGAAAACGGTCCGAAAGAGGCAAAACCTAAGATGGATCCGGAAACCAGCTCAGCTCGACAAAACCGGCGGAACCACACAGTATCAACTTCACTCAGTCGTTTCTGATGCCGACCCCTGTATCATCCTCCTCTACACCGACTACACGTGACTTCGAAAGAACAACGAAAATCCGAAATGGATTCTGAATCCATTCCAGATCCTCCTCTGACACCCAACGTAGAAAGAAACCGGTATGAGGACCAGTGGCAGAAACGGCAAAACGACGCCAATATCACACATTTTCACCGGTTCCACTGAACTTTAACCCCCGGATACTCACCCCGACGGGTCCTCGCATCCCGGACCAGAACCCCAATATCCACAGGTCACCCTTAATCGCACCCGAAAAAGAGCAGGACTTTAGATAGAAGATTTTTTTTTCATTTCTTTGCGTTTTATTTTGCTTTACCCTGCAATCAACTACTAAAATAATTTCAAAATATGTATGTTTATTTTAAGCATGAAAATCATGTTTAAAATAAACATACACTGGAGTCGCTTTTTACGCTGGTGATACGTCCCGCGTAAAAAAACCGCATAAATTCCGAATTTATAACGATAAACGATAACGATAAACCGCGTAAATTCTGAAATCCGCGTAAAAAAAAACCGTGTAAATTCCGAAATCAGTGTAAAAAAAAAAACCGCGTAAAAAGCGACTCCAGTGTATTTATTCTTGTTCGCATAGCTGTCAAACCAAGCAAAAACAATTACGTTCATTTTCAACACAAATATTTAAAAAATAAAATAAACGTTACGGGGGCGACCCCGGCGTAGTGGTTAACATCCATGCCTCTCACGCCAAAGTCACGAGTTCAAATCTCACCCCCGGACAAGTCACAAATGACCCAAGAGTGTTAAAGTGGCTATAAAATAAAATAAAAAATAAATATATAAATAAACGTTACATTATTTTTATTTTAAACGTTGATTTCACATGACTGCAAACATAGACTACGTTTGAAATCAACCTAGTTTATTTTAGTGGCCAGAACACACTGAGTTTACGTTTAAATTTACCTCAAATATTTTTGTTTCGACGATAGTTTTTTCTGCGTGTACTAGTAATCCTATATAAAGAGATTCGCGGCCATCTTGAGCCAATTGCGCAGCGAGAACTGTCCAAATATGAGCCAAACGAGCATTCTGATTAGAAAATATTCAGAGAATTTCTTAATCAGTTGAAAAGTATTGTAATCGGAGTGAAATAAATTCAAACAAAACTTTTATAAATACAAAATAAATAAATAAATATTATAGCAGGAAAATAATTATGTTAATATAAAAGAGTTTTAAGCATAGTTAACAATTTTATAATATATTGTGAATGAATAGTTTTTATAAATTTTTCTGTTCAGTTAATATTGCTGATTGCATCTGAAACTGGACAGCCCCAACAATGCAAAATGTGTGATAAAAGTGTAGGTTCCGTCAAATCGTTTGGTGTTTTCGGAGCACTCATTCCCTTCCATCATAACGAATAAGTGCACCGAAGACACCAAGAGGATCAGAAGAAAACTCGCACTTTCATCACCCTTTTTAATACGTAAAAAAGCCAAGGGGTACCCGCATAAACGCGAACCATAACTTGACCTTACCGACAATAATTATAAATTGTTTATAATCCCTCCTAAACTTTAACTGAAATGATTATGGAACTTTACATGAACGTTTGTGTGATAAAGTTTTAACCTTATGTATTATTGTTTTTTGAAAGCGGACCTCAAAATTCTTGTTTTCTCCATACATTTTCGAAAAGAGAACAATATTAGAACGTTTTTACTTATGGTTTGAGAACATTAATGGTTATGGTTATGATAGTCAGTAAGGTCCATTAATGGTTTTGTATTATCGCTCAACTTTACGTGGAATATATCGTGAATTGGTAATCAGTAATTTACAGGCAACCAATTCGCGATATATTCCACATAAAGTTGATCGATGTTATAAAACTATTCATGGACCTTACTGACTACCATAACCATTACCATTAAAGTTCTCAAACCATAAGTTAAAAGGTTCTAATATAGTCCTCCTCCCGAAAATATATGGAGAAAACAAGAATTTTGAATGGTAATGGTTCTTAACAACTCATTATTTGTAAGGTCCGCTTCCAAAAAACCATAATACATAAGGTTAAAACTTTATCATTAAACGTTCTTGTAAAGTTCCATAACAATTTCAGTTGAAGTTTAGCAGGGATTATAAACAATTTTTAACCATTTTTGGTAAGGTCAATTTATGGTTCGCGTTTATGCGTGTAGGTCACTCCGTACACCAATCTTGGGTAATCTTTTTTAATCAGTGTGCCGATTGGGAGGCACACCGATGACCGGCACGGTCATAGAGCAAGCTGTGATTGTTTGTAAAATATCCATCCCGACAACCCGGTATTTCTGACACCTTGAATGTTTTGGTATGAAACCTAAGTAAAAACGGGATTGAGTATGACGCGGGAAGTCGCGGGTGTGCGAAATTGTGGTCTTTTGTGTTCATATGATAGTAAAAGTTCTATGTTTTAGGATTTTATAGTGCCTTCAAAGGCAGACCAGAAACCTAGCCTTGCATGATATGAAAAAGCTCGGTGAAAAGCAACGGTCTATCATCGGCCGTTGGAACCGGTGGGGAACATTGTTCGAGCATCGAGACTCGGTTCGAGACCGACTATAGAGGATGATGAATATGATTTCTGTAGTTTGTTTTGTGTGCAGCATTATTTGAATTAAGGGTAGGCATCCTTTTCAGCTGCGTACCAATTTACAGTAAGTATCTGGAAAAATCGTGTCTTGGAAATAATAGAAGAGTACCGGAGTCATGTTTGATTGGGTCGTATCAAATATATTATATGTATTAACAATATGATCCACTATATCGCTTAGCTGGCGAACCGAATTTTTAGCGATGAAGGGCCTCTGTGGCTAAAAAGGCTACATGTATTTTGAAAATTTGCATTTTCATGCAACATAATAATTGTAGTTAATGAAAATAATTTGACTTTTATGTTTTAATAAGTGCTATATTCGCGCCCCTCGATGTAGTTGGATGATAGTTACTGACCTTTTTCAACGCTAGTTGGTGCGTGAAGTAATATTTTTCGGGTCGCCATTGCAATGTTTGGAAAAGGCATAAATTGATCATATTGTTAATATAATATATTTAGTCGTATGTAACATTTTTGTCAATTAGAGAAACTAGGGGTCTCGGGGCCTCCCTTAGCTCAGCCGGTAAAGGCGCAGCTACAAAGCAAGACCATGCTGGAGGTGGCTGGGTTCAATTCCCGGTCCGGTCTAGGAATTTTTCGGGTTGGAAAATTTCTCGACTTCCCTGGGCATAGAAGTATGATTGGACTTGCCACACAATTATACCAATGCAAAAATGGTACAGGCATCGAAAGCTCTCAATTAATAACTGTGGAAGTGCATCTAGAACACTAAGTTGAGAGCACGCAATAAGCTAATATGCGATATGCAATAAGCTTGAAATGCGAAAAAAAAAGAAGAAGGTGTTTTGTTTTGGTGAACAAAAAATTGTTTCTATTTTCAATGAAATAGATAATTCTTTCAGATAATAAACGCAAATTCCCATTTACTAAATCTCAGGATTGTTCCTATCGACTAAGTAAGGTATTGATAGCGTTCCTGATAAAATATAAACGTTTTTTAACCAATCAATATTATACGACCTTTTGCATGCCGTGGTGTTAAATTCGACCGTGCGCATTTTAGCGATTTAAAAATGTATTATAATGAGTAATACCTCACGAAAAGCGTAGTTATCATTTTGAGCACAACGGTTTTACATTGAAGATTTGCAAAATTTGCACGCTTCTGTTTAATTTTGTACATACGACGATTGACACTTCCGTAGAAGTTAGGTGTTGTATGTAACATTGAGCTATGTTTTGATCGGTTGGCACATACTACAAATACATTTTTAATGAGCAAATGAAACAAACATGAGGTAGCGGATCCAAATTTTGTCTCTAGGAAGAGTAAGCAGAGCAGTGTCTGGTAGCATTAAAATATCAATTTTTTTTTAATTTTGTTACATACGACCCAATCAAAAGGATTCCAGAGTAGACCAATTCTTGATTACTTTTTCGAAGGGACGTATCAGTTTTTGTAAACAATGCATTTCAAGACCAACAATTGAAATGGCCTTAACTCCAAACCTTGTGAGGCCATTTTCTCGCGAGCCGAAGTCCGCAAAGGCAAACTAAAATAATGAACAGGTAGGGGAAATTCTCCTATAGCCGATTGTTGTTTAGGTTTGCGAATGAAGGTTTCGGCGAGAAAATGGCTTTACAAGGTTTGTTTACAAAATGGAGTTAAGGCCATTTTAATTGTTGGTCTTGATTTGATCTTCGGTTTGGCGTACCTGGTAGCTCGTCCACGCATACTAACACCACTATCAGGTAAAGGAAAAATTCCCCTATCTGATGGTAGTATTAACATGCATGGCCGAGCTACTAGTTACACCAAATCGACGGTCAAATGCATTGTTTACAAAAGCTGATATGTCCCTTCGAAAAAAATAATCGAGAATTCAGTGCCAACATTTCAAAGGGGCGTAATTGCTTTTGTAAACAATGACTTTAGCCGTCAATTTCTCGAGAATGAAATCTTACCCCTCCAAAATGACAATGCTAACTGGTAGAGGAAATATTTATCTACCTGCTGGAGTCATTATTTTTCATGAGTGCGCTTTTATTCACGAGAAATCGACGGCTAAAGCCATTGTTTACAAATGCAATTACGCCCCTTTGAAATGTTGGCACTGAATTGTTAATTAATAGTTGGAAAAAGGGAATGAAGATGCGTGGCAACCTACGTGAATGACAACAATGCTACATTTCAAATTGACTTACCTCCTTCGACAGCTCTGCGGTTTCCATTGAATCCAAATATAATAGTCGTGCCAGTGGGTTTCTTCCAGCCGCGCCAGTTATTACACACACTTTCCGGTTCCGAACTCCAGCTGCACAAGGAATCTTCTTCGAACCGATCTGAATCTTCGAAGCTGAACCGATCGCACTCCTCATTATTAGCGTTCGCGTTTTGGTTGTTCTGATTCTGCTGCTGGTTGTTGTTATTATTCCCATTGTTGTTGTTGTTGTTGTTGTTGTTGTTGCCGTTGTTGTTACCAGTGTTGTTTGCATTCCACTCATGCGGGTTTGCACCAGCAGCTGCAGCTTCCGGTGGGGCATTTTGATTGTTGCTGGCCCCACCACCAGCAGCTGATGTTTCTTGATTATTGTTTGGCTGTTCTTGTTGTTGTTGTTGCGCTTGCTCCCGCTGTGGTGGCCTCTCCGGGCCACCCCCAGCAGTGTTCGAAGCGTTTGCCAGCTTCGTCTACGCTGATCGATAATCTTTTTGCACAATCACCAAACAGAACAGACACTGCGAGGGGACAACACACTCACACACAATCGATTTCACCTTTCCGAATATTGAGGAATCTTGTGGATCTACACTGTGGCTCAGACGGACAAAGTTTGTCTGCTTTCTTCCCTACAGCACAGGAGCGCTAGCAATTAGCATTCACTCGCACTTTTTTCTTCTTCTCTGGGACACAAAATTCCAGCACTGTATAATCGATTCAGCTACCTTTTTTCGATTAATTTACACACTACGGTTCACACAAAACAGCTGAAGCCATAGCCAAAGTCTCAGAACTTCACACACAAAAAGAACATCTATTAATTTCTTGGCTCACGCACTCGATGCTGCTGGTGGCCTCTCATAAACCAGCCATCGAATGAAGAGGCCAGTGCTGCCGGATTCCGATATCGATTTTATGGAATCGTATTGTATTAGAGTACTATTTTATCAGTCTTGTTAATTTTAATTTTGGAATACTGCTGCTATTGATCATTAATATTTGTTACAACTGAGAGATACCTATATTAAGTTTTCCACCCTGGAAAACTGCCAACCGTGTCTGTGGAAAGGTTTTATTGCGCTTGAAGATAATATTTTTTCGTAATAACATAGGGACAAAAGGAACAGAACCGTCCAACTAGCGGAAGAAATAATCTTTTGGCCCAACATTAAGTTTTTCAGTAATCTTATCGAAGCTCCAAAGGTTAGACTATGAACAATAATCCTAATTGGTTGAACTTTAGAAAAAGTAATAATGAAAAAAACATTACCGGATAGTTCAATGGGGCAATGTTATTATGTTTATGGTTCTTCTTGGTTTTGACGCTCTTACACGAGCTGGTGGCTGCTCTCAGCATTTACTTTTACTTTAATAGTCTAAGGGCCGATTTATTCATTTGCGCTGAGGCCTTACACTGGGTTTAACTATATTAAGAAATCGGTTATAACTTGTGCTTTATGTCAAGCTATCATATGGCACTTGATCGACATGATTTTTTTTGTTTGTTAAGCAAAGGTGAATGGTGCTCGTCCAATCCAAGATCAAACTTTCTAATCACTACAAAATAATTTATTTGAAGTAACAACAATATAAATATTAAATTAGGGTAAAACCGTAATACTTTTTAGGTAACCAGTATTCGAATAAAACAAAAAATAAAAAAAAATAAGTTTTCCAATACAAACATAAATTACCCACTATTTTCACTCTTGAATACATTTTCAAAACTTAGAAGATAATTACAAATATTGATGGTCAAAGCTTTATTATGAAGATTACCTACATGAGCAAGACAGGACTTTACGACTGGCTTTCTGTAATTGTCGTGGAAAAATACGTGGAATTTTGTTCTAGATTTTGACAGTTACCTACTGGCTTAGTCGTTTAAAAATGTATATGGAGAGGGTGAAGTGATCTGCAGCCTAGAAGAAGAGAATAATCTTCATCTTCATTTCTGACAGTTATGCCTGCTCTCAACTCAGTGTTCTTTGAACACTACAACAATTGTTAATTGAAAGCTCTCCAAGCTTGTACAATTTTTGCACTATGTCCAGGAAAGTCTAGAAAAATGTTCAAGCTAAAACGTTCCAAGAAAGTCCCAAGCAACATTTCCGGTTTTATTGTGGCCTTCACGTCCATTCTAAGTCTTATAAAGCTCTTCAAATAACACCATGATAAAACCAAACATGTCACTTGGTATATCAATATTCTATGTCTAGCGTTCAGACTGACTGCGATGATAGATTCTGCTCATCGATTTTCGTTTTTGTTAATAACTCGGCTGGAGCAACATTTCTTGGCGCGTTTGATGTTGCTTTTGCTAGCTAATACATCCTTTCACTTCACTGTATTGTAATAATTTCGGAAAAATTTGTTTTCTTAACTGTGGTAATGCGAAGTGAAAATCGAGAGAACAGTTAGGCCCTTATGATTCTAAATGCTAGATATGTATTATGTAATAATCAGCTACGTCCAAACTAGCATAAGACCAAATTTTTAATGCAATTAGAGTATGATAAAAGTTTATAATATGTGGTAGAGACAAACCAGATAATAATATTATTCTAGGTAAACATTTAAAAAGGTCCTATCCGTTTTTACCGATTCTTTTCACCAACTTTCTCTTCTGATTACCACGGCTATGCAAACAGATTTAGTGCTATTTTGTCACATAGTTTCATAAAAGAGGTTCTTATCTACAGTTTTATCTGACCTAAAACGAATCTACGTTGTGACCGCGGACCCCGGATATAACGTTTACTTCGTCTAATTTAACATAGCATTTGCAATGCAAAATTAGACGAGTTCATGTTCCCTCGGATACAACGTATATTCGTTATGAACAAGGCGAATACATATTTATAGGTGGTCTAATATGTCAAATTCATGATTCAGCCTTGTTGGATTTTTGTATACACTTCTCTGATGTTTGTGAAATGCACAAGCATTAATGCAGAGCTTGGAGTAAACTATAAGTATTAGTATAAGAAAACCTTTGAATTTACCCAAAGTTCTGCACCAATATATGTATATAGCCATTATGGTTATGACTCAGGTAAAACAGTAGCATTCAAATAAAGCCCTCTAGTTAAAGTATGGACGACTGTTCACAAAAATGAAAAAAGCTGTTCCAATCGAGCAACGCGATGCAACTTTTGCCAGATGTCCATACTTTTACTGCATAGGGCTTTATACCCCGTTCACATTACAGCGTATATCACTTGATATACGCTGTCTTGCAATGAGCACTCATACATCTAGTTTTCACTGGAAATCCTATGCTCATTGCAAGACAGCCTATATTACGTGATATAGGCTGTAATGTGAATGGGGTATTACATACAAAACGTCAAGCACAGCTGAACATTTTTGCTGCTGAGTAAACATTTCAAACGGTCCTACACTGAAACAAGGACCATAGTTAGGAATACTATTTTGCAGAAAACACTTATTCTCAATATAACCATGCTTATTACCGTTAAATCTACTATGAATTCAGTATTGTTGGCTATGAATGTTAACAAACTTACTATAATTCTGGCAAAACTACTATGCTTGGTAAAAAAGGATAGTAATTTTGATAGATATAATAGTAAAATTAAATTAAATTGTTTTCTGCACAAATCTATTGGTGAGGGTATTTAATTTAAACCAGCAATAGAGTATTTTTACCAATGGATTTTGTTTCAGTGTATCTACATTGATGGATTCTCTTCATCGACTTTCTCTTTCGTTAATAACTCAACTTCAAAAACATTCCCTGCTGTGTTTAATGTTTCAAATACAAGATAGTAACTGTGGCGCACGAAAAGCGTTTGCGTAGACGTGGTTATCAAATGAGAAAGTCGATGAAGATAATCGATCAAAGCAGATAGGACCTTTTGAAATGTTCATCGAGAGTTATTAACGAAAGAAGAAGTCGATGAAGAGAATCGATCGATGCAGATATTAGCTTTTAAATTGTCCATCTAGATAAGTATCCAAGCCAGGTAAATAACTAGTACGTATTTTTCTAGTCTCATCTACTTGATCTACATTTTCATTAAGTTAGAGGGTTTCATGTTCAGTGCGTTAAGCTATTTTTATTAGAAATAAAATATATACCCTAATAACGAGCACTACATAAACTGAGGGGGTTAGAAGGAAAAGGGTATAGGTGACTTTGATCGATTCTCTATTGATAGCCACAGCTTTATAAACAGATTTTGCGCTATTTCTGCCACATAGTTTGATAAAAGAGATTCTCATCTAGTCAAAATAAATTTGACAGCTGTTTGTTATGTATTTTCCTCGGATTTTCGCTACCACAGTTTCACATAGCGCACCAATACAACCAGGCGTGAAAATCTCTATTCGACAGTGAGCATGCATAAGGGCCTATACGCGATGATCGATTCTCTTCGTCGATTTTCTATTTTGTTAATAACTCGCTAGATTTAACGTTTCTCGGTGTGTTTGCTGTTGCTTTTGATAGCCAATACAACCTGCTACTACTCTGCATTAAACAAATTCTAGAAAATTGTTACGCTTAGCTGTAGCAATGCAAAGAGAAAATCGATGAAGAGAATCGATCATCGCGTATTCGCCCTTATGCATGCTCACTGTCGTATTATATCATTATGAAATAAAGCAAAGATGGTACTGTTAGGCTAAATAAATTAATTATACAATTACTCAAGATACGCTTCCACATTCGTAAAACAATGAATCAATAATAAAAATATAATTGATTCAAACATTTCAAAGAGAAACTATATATTTAATATTTTATATAAATCCATGTTGTAATACTTTGTATTAAAATTGGATGCAAACAAATCCGGCAACACTGGCATTCACCTCCGTCTCCGTGCAATTTTTTCCCATTATCCGTAGCTTTGAAAGTGAGAAGAAAAATTGACCCTCTCGAAATACCCTTTCTTTCCGCGGCCTTAACAGCACCGAAAATGGCCTGAGCGGCCCGTCCTTCACGTTACAGCGATGTGATCCTCCGTTACGCGCACTTTTCGGACACTTTAGCAGCAAATTTCACTGAGAAAACGCCAAATTTTCACTCGATTTTTTCACTGCAATAAAAGCCCTACGCAAGAGGACGACGATACGCGACAACAATAATGGCCGAGCGAGCAAGTAAAACGAACGAACCTTCAGCCATCAGAGTCACAGTCTCTTTTCCTTTGTCAATGAATTTGCACCGCCCCTCCGCCCTCTCTCTTCGTTATTTCCATTCCTTCATTCGAACCAATTAAAAAATGACACCGACGAGGGACTGGGCGGTGGTATTATTCCAAGGAATAATACAGGTATACCACAAAAGGGTATTTGTTGGGATTAGTAGTAAAAATGAGGTATACCAAGGTATAGCAATCGGTGATGATGAAAACTCGGACACAGCCCAGTGGCAGACGCGTAGGCAACATGGCCTGCTCGGACGAAAACTCCTAAAAATATTACATGAAAAAGTGGAGTT